TCGAGGGAGGAAGGAAGGAAGGAAGGAAGGAAGGAAGGAAGGAAGGAAGGAAGGAAGGAAGGAAGGAAGGAAAGAAATGTTTGAATTCCTGCAAAGTCTTGGTTTACTCAAGAAATGTGTGTTAGGTGCCTCAGCTAGAGATACTCTAGAAAGAGTGCAGAAATGAGCAACAAAGATGATTAGAGGCTTGGAGACTAAAACTTATGAAGAACAGTTGCAGGAATTGGGTATGTGTAGTCTAGCAAAAACAAGGACTAGAGGTGACATGATAGCAGTGTCCCAAAATCTGAGGGGCTGCTATAAAGAAGAGGGAGTGAACCTATTTTACAAAGCAACTGAAATCAAGGCAAGAAACAATGGATGGAAACTGATCAAGGAGAGAACCAACCTAGAACTAAGGAGAAATTTCCTAACAGTTAGAACAATTAACCAATGGAACGGCTTGCCTTCAGAAGTTATGGATACTCCATCACTGAAGGCTTTTAAGAAGAGATTGGACAGCCATTTGCCAGAAATGGTATAGGGTCTCCTGTTTGAGCAGGGGCTTGGACTAGAAGACCTCTAAGGTCCCTTCCAACTCTGATATTCTATGTTTTATGTTCTAGTTAGGCAGCCTCTGAAGGTATGGTCCTTCAATTTCCTCAATCTCTGAAATCTTTAATTTGAGAGTCTCCATTTGTGTGAGGTTGGTGGAAAGGAAGTACCTTTGCTTTTTTTTTTTAACCCTTGCAACAAAACAGTTGTTCCAGAGTGTGCTGGAACCAAACATTTGAGCGAAATCAAGATGGTTTATTCCAGGGGTCTCCAAGCTTGGCAACTTTAAGACTAGTGGACTTCAACTCCCAGAGTTCCTCAGCCAGCAAAGCTGGCTGAGGAACTCTGGGAGTTGAAATCCACTAGTCTTAAAGTTGCTAAGGTTGGAGATCCCTGGTTTATACATATAACAACAATGACAGATGCCCTGGAGAGTGGCAGGCATAGCATTTTCAGCATTGTCCTAATGAACCAAGCTTTTCAATGTGATCCCTGATTTTTTTTTTATGAGTTAAGGAAAGCGAGACTTTGAGTAACTGCTTTGAATCTCTTTAGCAAAGGCACAGACCCAAGTGTATTTTTGGAAGACTGTATTTAATATCTAAAGGATGGTTTATCTCAATTCTTTCTGAAGCATGCTGATAGCTGCCTGGTAGCAGTGCACTCTCTTTCGTCTGTTTTAATTTCAGAGAAGATAAAAATAATCATGGGTAAAACCTAAGTTATAAAGCAGTGAATGTGTCCTGTAACTTACAATCGGGATATATGTGTGGTGTATGTGTCTGCCTGCCTGTCTGTCTACCTGCCTGCCTGCCCTGCCTCTCTCTCTCTCTCTCTCTCCCCCTACGCACCCACCCATCCATCCATCCATCCACCTTTTATTCTCTCTCTCTCTCTCTCTCTCTCTCTCTCTCTCACACACACACACACACACACACCCCTCTGATTGTAAGTTACAGGATGTATTTCTTACT